TTTGAGTTATGGTGTTGGAGGAGAATATTGAAAGTGCCGTGGGCTGCCAAAAGAACCAATAGATCTGTTTTAGACGAAGTGCAATCAGAGTGCTCCTTGGAGGCCAAGATGGCTAAACTTTGTCTCTCGTACTTTGGATATATTGTCAGGAGGGAACAGTTGCTGGAGAAGGATATCATATTTGGTAAGATAGAGGGTTAGAGAAAAAGAGGAATACTCCCAACAAGATGAATTGGCCAAGTGGCAACATTGATGGACTCAAGCGTGGCAACAGTAGGTTGGCCCAGGATTGGACATTGTTTAATTCTGCTGTGCCTAAGGTCGCTATGAGTCAGTACCGACTTGATGGCACCTAACAACAACAACATGGCTTCTGACTTTCTCGCCAATTAATTTCTAAGCCTCATGATTCTGTCCCTTAAGGTATTAAAATGTTTCGCTTCCGCTACTGTCATATTTGAAATTACAAAATATGTGTATCCTTCATTTGAAGAAAAACTTGGTGTGTGAAAACTCAGCAGATAAATATATCAGTGGAATATCTAGTTAAGAAATCCACACAAAGTTTTCTTAAAGGAAATAATACTGTAAGATAGAGAATTGCCGTTGAATTTAAGTTGTTGTTAGTTACTGTTGAGTTGGCCCCAATTTATGGCAACCTGTGATGCTGTGGGTTAATGCGCTGGACTGCAAAGTCAGTTTGAACCACAAGGTCCATGGTTCAAGCTCACCAGTTCCTCCTCGGAAACTCTATACAGGGTTGCTATGGGTCAGAACCTACTTGACAGCCCTTAACAACAACAACAACAACAACAACAATGTATAACAGAATAAAACATGCTGTTCTGGCATCAGACTCACAATCTTTGGTATGTTTGAGCCCATTTTTATAGCCACCGTGTCCATCCATCTTACAAAGTTTTCCACTGATGATTCTGGACAAATCACCGACTGCCCACCTAAGGGAGGTTGAGAGAATGATTCAGTTCATTTGAAGTTAATTACAACTAAAAGTTGATATTTATGAAAAGAAAGAAAGGGATTTGATTCTCACACACCTATTTTTAAGAATTTTTAAAAACTTTTTATTGTGAATTGAGTGAAGGCCATCAGCTTTACATTTAACAAATTATACGCTTTGTTTCATCTTAATGATCACAATCCCCTCCCTACAACGACAATATCCCATTTCCTCCCTGTGGCTCCCCATTTACATTTTATATTTCACAAATAAACAAAGCAAACATATTTCATGTGCACATACAAAACAAAAAAATATATTCATTGAAATGTCACACATACCTGATTAAGAACAAACCTACTAGTTAAAATCAAATGTATTTACTATGAGAAGAAAATGGATTAGTGTTGCTGTTAAGCAGTCTAAAGGAAGTAAGATAAAAACAAAGCCTGTTGTTGTTAGGAGCTGTTGATTCAGTACTGATTTATACTGAATTGATGCACAACATAACGAAACACTGCCCGGTCCTGTGCCAGCCTCACAGTCATTGCTACGCTTGAGTCCATTGCTGCTGCCACTGTGCCAATTCACTCGTTGGGGTTCTTCTTCTTTTTGGCTGATGCCCCACATTACGTAGCATGATGTCTTTCTCCAGGGACTGGCCTCTCCTGATAATATGTATGAAGTATAAGCAACGAAGTCTGTCCATGCTGAATTGTAAGGAGCATTTTGGTAGCACGTCTTCCAACACAGATTGGTTTGTTCTTTTGGCAGTCCACGGTACTTTTAATAGTCTCATCCTAACACCATAACTCCAATGTATCAATTATTCTATGGTCTTTATATTTACTGTACAACTTTCACATGCATATGAGTTTAATGTAAATATTATTACTTGGGTCGGGGGCACTTTAGTCCTCAAACTGACATCTTTACTCTTGAGCACTTTAAAGAAGTCTTGTGCAGCAGATTTGCCTAATGCAATGCATCATTTGATTTCTTGACTGCTGCTTCCATGAGTGGTGTTAGTTGCTCTGAGAAAATGAAGTCTTTGACAACGTTAATCTTTTCTTCATTTATCTTAATGTTATTTATTGGTCCAGTGGTGAGGATTTTTGTTTTCTTTATATTGAGGTACAACCCATACTGAAGGCTATGGTCTATAATCTTCATCAGTAAGTATTTTAAATCCTCTTCGCTTTCTGCAAGCAAGATTGTATAATCTGTATATCCAAAGTTTTTAATGATTTTTCCTTCTACCCTTGTATAGTGAAAGAATACAACTCTGGCACACACCTTTTCTCATTTAAACCATTCAGTGTTCCCTTGTTCTGTTCGAACAGCTGCCTCTTGGTCCATGTTTACAATTAAGTGTTCCAGAATACTTATGTTCTACAATGTTGTCCATAGCTTGTCATGATCCACACAATCAAAAGTCTTTGTTTAGTCAATAAAGCACATGTAAACATCTTTCTGGTATTCTCTGCTTTTAACCAAGATCTATCTTACTGTTGTCACCAATTATATCTTTCGTTCCACATCCTCTTCTGAACCCGTCTTAAACCTCTGGAAGTTCCCTGTGAATATACTGTTGCAGCCATTTTTGAATTAACATTAGCAAAATTTTACTTTCATAATTACATGGGATAATAATTATATTGTCTGATGATTTCTGCTTTCTGTTGCATCACCTTTCTTTGGAATGGGCACAAGTATGGATTTTTTCCAATCAATTGGCCAGGTAACTGTCTTCCAAATTTCTTGGTATAGATAAGTGAGTGCCTCCAGTGCCACATCAGTTTGGTGAAAGATTTCAATTTGTATTCTACCAATTCACTGTTCTTTGCCAATGCCTTCAGTGCACTTTGGACTTCTTCCTTCAGTATCATTTGGTT